TAACATGGTTCAAATCCCCAACAGGTTGTCTATAACCCTACTGCTCTGCTATACTGCCCCTGCCACCTGCTTCTCCATATCCAGTACCCCAGACACAATTTGAAAAGTTCTGGTATATCTGAGTGAAATTTTATAGTGAAGTTTCAAACATTCACTCAACCATACCTGCCTGTGAGATTGCAGTAGTGGGCTGTTGTTGGTAAATATGAGGTGTTAGGGGGCACTAGTTAACTCAGTCTGGGAAGACTTCCTGAAGGAGCTGAGGTATGAATAAAACTATAAAGAACATCTGTGAAGGTTCAAATAAGATCCACTCTCTTCACCTTTCCTTGGCTGGGGCATGGCTACTAGGATACTAACTCACAAACCTTAGATATAGACAGAGTCTTTTCTCCCACTGTGCCTCGGTACAACTCTAGCTGGAGCAGGGGTTTTTGACCTGGGGTCCATGGACCCCAAGAGGTATGTGAATAACTTTTAGGAGGTCTATGAGCTTGGGTAGGAAAAAAATATATCTTTATTTTCATTAGCCTCTAACAGAAATTTAGCTTTTCCTTCAATTATGAATGGAGATGACAAAATGTTATTCTGAGTAGGGGTCCATAGGCTTTTTCAGACTGCCAAAGGCATCCATGAAACAAAGTGTAATTGACATTTTTCTTATAACCTCATGGTATAGTAGAAAGAGAAATGATTGTAAAGTCAGAGGACTTGGGTTCAAATCCTGTTTCTGACATTTACTGCCATCCTAATTGTGGGAGAGCAAGGCACTTCACTTTTAGGGGATTCATTTTCCTCATTTATAAAATGAAGAGGTTGGACTGGATACCTCTGAGTGTCCTTCTAGCTCTAGATTAGTGAAGAATCACTGTCTCCTCAAGGAGAAATAAATTTCTGATTCTGTTGCTAACATTGTCTTCCTGTTATTGACTATTGTCTCCTACTTAATACCCACCAAGGATTTTCCCACTAGATGGATCAATTTCAAAATCCTCGGTGTTGTTCAGTCAGTCAGTCACATCCACCTCTTCATAACCCCACAGATCAACTGTCCTTGTGGTTTTCTTGCAAAAATGCTGGGATGGTTTGCCATTTCCTTCTCCAGTGGACCTAGGGGATCTTTTTTTGTCAGGCAATCAGAGGTTAAGTGACTTGTTCCAGGTCACACAGCTAGGACTTATGAGGCCAGATTTGAACTCAGGTCTTCTTGACTCCAGGCCCAAGGTTTGAATCCAGGGCCGTTAACTTCAGTCTTTCCACTGCACCATGCAAACTTTTGATTCTCCTGTCCCTGCCCTCTAAGACTGCTTCTGTTCTCAATCCAGAGTTCCTAAAATACACCAACACTTTTAAGGGAGTTTTCCACTAAGAGGGTTGTTTGAATAGGCCCATAACTAATCAAACATGCTTCTCATACAGTTATACACAGAATATACTTTTGCCTCTGTGTCCTCTACATGTCTGGCCACATCCCACCCACATGACTCAAACCAGCAAGCCCCTGGAGGGCAAGGTCCACGTCTTTCTAAATCACTCCATACAAAACCTGGCTCTGGTCCATATGCAAATAGGTGCTTGTTAAAACATTTTGACAACAAAGATGATGAGGATGAGATAAAAGTCTTGGCAAAATGCCTGGAGTATATTCAAGAGATGGCCACAAAGCTACTATGCCAGCATCCCAGGTATGTGTATGTGCATGTGCCTGCATTTTTATTTTTAAACTTAGATTTCATGCTGTGATACTCCCCAGTCTCCGGAGCAGAAAAGTTTTCAATCAGGGCATTGGGTCAGTTAGTGGTGAGCTAGTGGGCTTTAATACCCCTTAGCTTTATGCCTCTCTGGGACTGGAGGTCCCAAGTCCAAGGTTGCAAAGGAGAAAAGAGGGGAGGAAAATGTCTTCACCCTCAGCCTACTCTCATTTCATCCCTTCCTCCCTTGAACTTTCTGCCCTTAGTTGTTTTCTAGGGAAAGGCAGAGAGAATGACTGGATGGAATAAGGAGACAGTCTAAGCAAGCTGTTCTCCCTTCAAAATGGACTGTCAGTCACAATCTGACTCTGGAAAACATCCTTAAAACAAGAATCCCTTATGGGAGACCCTTAGATGAGCAGAGAGCAGAAGAGCTAAAGAGGAATCTTCAGAGCTGGAAAGGATCTCAGTGGCCCCATGTCTCACCTGAAAAAAAAAAAAACAAACCAAAACCAAAACCAAAACTCTTCCATAAATGGTCTTTCTGCCTTTGCCTCAAGACTTCTCCATTGAAAGCAAACCCACTGCTATTGAAGAGCTCTAGTTTTCCTGAAATCAAGCCTAGATCTGCCCCTTTACAACTTCTACCAGTTGTTTGTAGTTCTGCCCTCTGGGGCTAAACAGAACAAATTTAATCTTTTTCCCAATCACAGCCCTTCACATCCTTGATGACAACTATCATGTTTCCTCTGAGTCTTTTCTTCTTTGGGTTAAACAGCCTCATTTCTTTCAACCAATCCTCATCTGGAACCAACTCCAGGCCCTTCGGTAGCCTGGTTACCTTTCTCTGGATACTCTCCAGTTTAACAATCTCTTTCTTGAACTGGTTCCCAGAATTAAATGCATTGTGCTACTTGTTGTCTAAGCAGGTAGAGTACCAATGGACTATCACTTCTTTATTAATGGAAGATTGGAATTTAATTAATGGAAACTCTGCCTCTATTAATTCAACACTTGATTTTCTTAGCTCTTTTGATCATCACATCTCACTATTGACTCACATCAAGTTTTCAGTACACTAATTCTCCTCCAGTCCCTTTAGGTTCCCCATCCCCCTCAAAAAAAGTTATCTGTGTCTTCCTCATCTTGTACTTGTGAGACTGCTTTTTTTTTTTTAACTCAGCTATAAGACTTTACATATAGTCCAACCCAGCACTTTTCTGAAGTGAGAACACAGGGTGGAGTCTGAGACAGTGAGAAGGAATTCTGCAACATTGCCTTGGTCCATCAGGATAGATTGTATTGGGTTTTGGGTTTACAAAGCAGTTTACACATACAATTATAGTTATCTCTACAATTCTGTGAGGTTGTTTAGGACCAAAGACTGTTATCCTCAACTTATGGATGATGAAGCTGAGGATCTGAAGAGTTTGCCCAATATTTTACAATTATTAAAAAAAACAAGCTGAGATCAGTATTCAAGTCTCTGGTCTCCAGGGTTTCTGATTATGAGTCCAGTGCAAACATGAACTAATTCTTTACCTCTTTGTTTCACCCTCTTACTCCCATTTCTGGGAATGAGGGATCAAGATTAATAGCCCTTTTCAAGAGATGGGCGGAATAATATCCAGAAAGATGTCCAATCAAGAGAACAAGGTTGATGCAAATAGAATGTTTGCACTGAAATTGGAGTAAGAGGACAAAATCCTGGCTTTGCCTCATTTTGACCATCTACAAAATGAACTAAATGATCATTAAGGTCTCTTCTTTCCACCTATAAGATATATTCATGTAAAGAGAATAGCTGGGAAGATTCTCCTTTTTTCAAATTCTTTCACTAAAGCAAACCAGACCATTGGGCACTGTTGTAAGTCCCTAGATGGAGCCCCAGCTTGTTAGTTTTTTTTTGGGGGGGGAATTTGTTATTGAGGTTAGAGACACACAACCTTACTAAGGCAAGGGATCTTAAGGGGGAAAGGAGCAGAGGTTGTAGGGCACTGGGATATTAAACTTAGGTAGTGAGCAATTTAATGGACCTCCAGATATTAGGGCTTGAAACAGGAATTCTTCCTGACAAGGGTCTTTGTTTGGGCTATTTCCAGGGAGTCGGAGAGGTAATTAAGCAGGAGTCTTGCCTGGAAGAAGAGTGGGAGGGATGATTCCATAAATCAAAGTCCACAATGAATGGAGACAACCCTTGTCCATCTGCTATTGTTGGGGGGGGGGAGGTTGTAAATGACAGAGCCCTTGGGCTTTCTCTCACACCTGGTAGGCAGAGATGACCTCTCAAGGACCCCTTCCAGTGCTGTGGTCTCTGGAGTCTATAATCCTACACCAATCACTTCTGCATCTGGGAGCACTGAGGACAATTGCCCAGGAGCAGAGGGGATGGGAGGTTGGACTGAGGGAAAGACTATGCTTAATTAAACAGACGGAGTACTATATACCACGTAAAGAAAAGAGAGCAGGATATTGTCCCTTTACCCCGCAAAGTCTCCCCACGTGAGTGTGGCAGAGAGCAGGAGTGTGTCAGACCTGGAATGCTGATCGTGCTAGATTTCATGTGAATTCAACGAGTATTTAAGTACCTACTACGTGCCAGGTTCTGTGCTTGGCCCTGGAAGTACAAATAACAAGAACGAAACAAATTCTTCCCTCCAGGAGCCTCCATTCCACTTCTGGGGCAAACATGGATTGTAGGAGTTAGAAAGTCGTGGTAGACAGAGTCAGTCCTTGGAGAGTGCCACTATGGAGGTAGGTTAGGGGGGATAAACTTAGTTCATCCCGTACTGGAGATCCAGGGTAGATTCCAAGAGTAACTCTATCCTGCCTATATAGCTCTAGGGACTCAAGGAGAGAAGGGAACCTCAAAAAGGTGTGAGTTTGGGGTTATTTGGCAGCTAGAGGCAGCTTCCAGATTTGTAACGGAGAATTGTGTTGGGAGTGGAGTTTTTGAAACGAAAAGGAATGGCAGATTTGGGTCTCCTGGAGGACGATCTGTGTCCGTTCCTTGTTCTCTTTCCTGATCTAGGTTCTTTTGGTAGTGACCCCAGGGAAGGCAGAGAGAGGAACAGACAAGGAGAGGGCAGAGAATGGAAGGGGCAAAGACGTGGACAAAGGAGCTGCATAGGTAGAGAGCAGAAGGAGATTGGGGCTTGACCGTGCAGAGAGGTACGTGTGCGCTTCTAGGTCGGTTCGCATAGCACTGCTGAAGAGGGGGTGGTCTCCGAAAGGGGGAGGGGAGAAGTTCGGGGGGCGGGGAGAAGTGGGGCCCTTTAGGACCCGGCAGCTCCCGGTGGGGAGGAGAAGGACCAGAAGGAGGCGGCTCCAGAGCTCCGGAGGTTGCCACCTGCCTCCACCCCGCCCTCGTTGTCACAATTGCCAACATGCTGGCGAGGCTGAGTGGCCCCGCGCTGCTGCTGCTGCTACCTCTGCTGCCTTCGCTGCTGGCTGGGGGAGGGAGCCGCGGGGCCCTAGCCGAGGTGCTGTTCCGCTGTCCCCCTTGCACCCCGGAGCGCCTGGCAGCCTGCGCTCCCCCGGCCGCAGAGCCAGCTGCGCCGCCAGCGGTGCCCCCAGGTGCCGCCGCCGCCGCAGTCTTACCCTGCACCGAACTGGTCCGGGAGCCCGGCTGCGGCTGCTGTCCGGTCTGCGCCCGGCTAGAGGGGCGAGGCGTGCGGTGTCTACACCCCGCGCTGCGCCCAGGGGCTCCGCTGCTACCCAAACCCGGGATCCGAGCTGCCCCTCCAAGCGCTGGTCCAGGGCGAGGGTACTTGCGCCAAGAGACGGGACACCGAATATGGCACCAGCCAGGAGCAGGTTGCAGGTAAAGGAGGGAGGGGGCTGTGCAGAAACCTGGATAACTATTCTGCAAGGCAAACTTGAGGGGAGTGAAGGGCTGCCTTTCTACTCTTGTGGAAAGAACTGGGAGGGGAGGTGTGAGAAAAAGAGCCAGATTTTAAAGGAGAAATGTTGTTAGGACGAGGGCCCTTAAAACCACTTTAGGGTGGGAGGGTGGATGGGTAGGTGGAAGTTAGGATGGTAGAATGAAGGGAAGAGGAGAGAATAAGCATTTATATAGCACCTATTACATGCCAGGCACAGTGGTAAGTGCTTTACAAATATCTCATTTAGTAGAGAGGTGGAAAGAGTAGGGGTTTTCACAATATAATCTTAACCTGGATTTAATCCCTTACCCTGAGACAAATCACTTGGTCTCTTTCTTAGTTTCCTAAGTACAATGAGGGTGTTGGACTCTTAAAAGCACCTTTCAACTCTAATGATCCACGAAAAAAGAACTTAACTACTGTTTGAGGGAAATATCTATTTGGGGAGGGGGGAGGACAAGGAAGAGTCCTCCTCCTCACGTGGGGAGTGGTGCAGAGAAAAATTAGGATACAATTCGGAGAGAAAGAACCTTCTCGGATCCTGGGAAGAAGGACCTTAAATACACTGCTTGTGTGGGTGGAGGAAAGATTCCTGCCTACTTCCTTTGGAAGGGGTATTGAAAGGGGACAAAGGTGTTCCTTACTCTTTTAAAGGTTTTCTCACTTTTAAAGGTTTTCCAAATCTGTTGCCTTGTCCATCACAAGGTAGACTTTGCTCATTGTCCTGCCTAGATGAAGGAAGGCAAGGACACTTACCACTTAACCACTTTCTGTTGTAGTGGCAAGAACCCTGGGCTTGGAGTCAAAAGACTTGGTGTCTGGTTGTGGCTATTTACTAGCTGTGTGACCTTGGGAAAGTCCTTTCCCTTTCCCAGGGCCTCATTTTCATTATTTGGTAAAATGAAAGGGGTGGGACTAGATGATAGACCTAGATGATACAGGCAGGAAGAAAAGGACATAGGCTATTATTTTGGAGGGAGAATTGCTTTTTTAAAAAAAGGCAAGACTTCTATTTTGGGAGGGAACAGGGAGGATACTTCCTACAATGTTGGAAACACAGAAAGGAGGAAACATTTAAGTGGGAGAAAGAGAAATGCTGCTCTTATGGAAGTCAAAGAACATTCCAGTTCTGGATGATTGGGTGAATGCTTTTATGGGGGGGGGAGTGTCTTGGACAATAGGGAGGACCAATCTAACTTTTTAATAAAAGCCCCTCCCTTCCAGATGGCAGAATGGCATTTATGTTCTGTGGGGGTGGGGGAGGGTGCTGATTAGCTTTCAGGCATATTTCAGGAGGCCATGTGGCATAGTGGAAGGATCTCTGGACTGTGAGTCTGAAGACTTGGCTTCTAATATTCACTCTGCTTAATTTGGAGTGTGACCTTGGAAATAAGTGACAACCTTTCTGAGCCTCAGTTTCCTCATCTTGTAAAAGGAAGAATTCTGGCCTGTGTGATTTCAAGAGTCATCTTCTAGTTCTCTAATTCTGTGGTTCCAAGACTCCCCCAACTCTTACCCATTCCATTATATGGCTTTTGTCTCTGCCCACATTTCAGGAATCTGAGAGGTGCAATTAAGTCTCATACAATTTACATTTATTGTTCAACTGGGAAAGTCCTTGAAGCTTCTTTCAAAAGATGAGAGTAACTCATAACTTTTTTTTTTTAGTGAAGGGGTGGGAGGGAAACATTTTCTAAGAGTCATTATTTTCCTTCACTAGAGAGAAAAGCCATTTCATTATTAAAACCTCATTTAAGCAATTTATAAGTGTGATTTTTTTTAAAGCCCTCAACCACCCCCAAACGAAGAAACACAGCAACATACTCAGGTTAGGTTGGCTTACTTTTTAATTTAATTTAATTTAATTTTATTATGTTACCACCTGTCGTAGTTGCCTGGAGTAAGATGTCTAGGAAATCCTAATTCTTTTCATTCCTCTTGTAGACAAAAATTAGGCAGTGCCTGCATGTCTGCATTAAAACAGAGTGGGATCAGAGTTTCAAACTTTAAAGAATATGAGACCACGCAGACTTGCCTTCCCAGACTTTCTTTCCAGTCAATCTCTCCCCTTCTCTGTAGTACTAACCCCCCCCCCACAGCCTCCCCCTGCTATTGTTTTATATTTTTTCCCGGCTTCCTCTCTGAATGGAATTACAGAGGAGTTACGGGTCAAAGTTGAAATCTTTCTCCTAGTTCTATAACACATTTTGATCTTGGTTGAGGAACCAGGGTGCCTTTTCTTTCTCTCCCTATCCTTTGCAGAAATGATTCTCCCTTCCTTTTCTTTGCCTCAACCTTCAAGTAATTGAGATGAACACTTCAGAGTAAAATATTTCTTTAAAAAAAAAAGGTCCATCCTTCTACACATTTTACACCTGCCTTCCCTTCTCTCCCCTCCCCCTTTCCCTGTCCCCCAGACTCATTCATTTCTTGGGCTCCCTGCAGTTGGGGTAGAGGCACTATGGTTTATGAATTGCACTTTTGGACAAACTAAACATTTTCATTGGCAGGTTGAGCTTTACTAAGGACTCTGAATGAAAAGAATTATTTGGAATTTAATTGTGTTTTAATGATGTGTACTAAGTATTTTGGTTTTTGCTTCTCAAACGTTTAATTAAAAAATAAAGTATATTGCCTTTACCCTAATCCTTGAAATTGATCTCCCTGCCCCCAAATGCCATAAAAAGTTAGGGTGTTGAGAAGGGAACAGATGTAGGCTAATTCTATTCAGCCCTCTCTTGCAGCAGGGAGGGGGGGAGGGGATGAGGATGGGGGTGGAAGGGGAAGGAGGGACAATGGGGTGAGTTCATGGGAAGAGTGTCACTCTGGATTTTCTATCTCGGCTATCGGGCTCCCTTCTGCACAGAAATCCAGCTGCTGCCTTCTCATCCATCTCCTAACCCTGAGGCCTCCTGGATCGCCTTTTGGTCCTGGGTGTTCATGTCCCAGGGTGGGTTGAGGATGTGGAGAGGGAGGCAGAAACTAGGGGTGAAACTGGAGGGGTAGGAAAAGGATGAGATAGTTTGGAACTAGGAGAGGGGCTGGGTCTGGTGGGAACCCAGGAAGAATAGAGGCTTGGGAATATTGGGACACAGGGTGGAGAAAGGCAATATTGAATTAAAAGGAGATACTGGAGGGGGGAGAGAGAGAGAGAGAGAGAGAGAGAGAGAGAGAGAGAGAGAGAGAGAGAGAGAGAGAGAGAGAGAGAGAGAGAGTGTGTTTGGGGAATGGATACCATGACAGAAGGGTTGGAATTTGGGGGAAGAGGGGCTGGATCTGAGCTTGCATAGGAGCAGGGCTGAGATGAACACTGGAGGGAAAAGGACTGGGGCTGTGGGAACACTAGTCGGGGTCTGGGGATGGGGGAGGGGATACTGGAGGCAGAATTGCTGACAGGGACACTGGGGTCGAAGGGTTGGAATTGAGGGGAGAGTGGCTGAGACTGGGGCAGGGAAGGGGATCATTGAGGAGAGAAGGCTTTGGGGGAGGGGAGGAGGATGGAGTAGAGGGTATACACACTGATTGTGAATGTAGTAAAGCCCAGGGGGCCTGAATGGAAGGCTCCAAAGACTTCTTAACTCAGGACCGACTGTGAGCTTGGGAAGACTGCAAGGCTCAGCCCTGAATACTACTTGTCAGCTCTAAGCCGGCTCATCCTTTCTCCTGCCCCCTCAGAAGAACAAGCCCTGGGAGCTTAAATTCCTCTCTGAGCAGGTTGCTTGCAAGAATTTTAAAAATACCCTCTTATTTCCAGGCAGCAAAAACTCAGCAGTTCCGGCTCTGTGCTTGGCTCTTTTGTCTTTGTTCCCAGGACTGGGGGCTGCGGGCGCTTGCTTCCGGATCCCAAGCCTGAAAGAAGGGGGCAGAATGGGACAGCACGGGTCTGGCTGGGGCTGGGACAGGACTAGGTTAGATGGGACAGGATGGAATGGGATGGGATGCGATGCGATGGGATAGAATGGGCGGATAGTGGAAAGGGAGAGATTTCAAGGAGAGGAAAGAACAGGGCTCGTTTGGGGCTTGACAGAGACAAGGGGAAAAAAGGAATGGGGGGGTCACGGGGAGAAGCAAGGGAGTGAAAAAGGAAGCGCAATCTTTGCTGGAAGGTGACAGGAAGTAAAGCACCATCCTAGGAAACTGGGGAGAGTGGGGGGCGGTCACCTCCTTTAGGTGTGTGGGGGAGGGGTGGGGCAGGAAGTGTCTGGGAGAGCCTTGGAGTTCGGGGCCTGGGTTTGCCCCAGGCTTGGCTGGGAGATTTCACTCTCCCTCCCTCCCTCCGTAGCCTCTGTGTACAATGGGGGGGATTATGCTGAGGGGAGGAGCCAAGCGGAGTAGCTGTCTGGCCCGGTGCTGATATAAAGGTACTATAGAAATGCTAAGTAATTCAAAGTCCCCAGGCCAGCCTTTGCTTCGGCCGTTGCTGGGGGAGAATAAAGGGGGGAGGGAAGGGTTCTGATTTACAGTGGTTGCAGCCTTGCTTTTCTTTTCTTTTTTTTTTTTAAAGGCACCCGGACTTTTGGCTTAGAATGCTCCTTTACATTCCATCTTGCATAAATTTGCATACCGACTTCTGGAGCTTGTAGGACTTCAAAGATGTGAATGAATGGAACTCAGTGCCGCTGACTCCCCTCTCTTCTCTCCCCCAACCCCCACCATCTCCCTTCTCCTCCCCATCGTGGGTTTCCAGACTGGACACCCCGAACTCTCTTTTGCTGCTCTCCCTGATTCACCACTGCAGGTTGGAAGACAGGGTGGAGCTGAAGGCTGCTACCCACTGGAAAGACACCGAGTTCCTTGGCTGAAAGGACGGCCAGGGTGTGGCCTTGGTGCACTCGAGGTCCGGCTTGGGCTGGGGAGAGCATCTCTGCCTACGCAGCCTCAGGGCAGAGAAGTTCTGATTTTTCCACTTAGGATACTTTGTGTTCCAACATAGAGCCAG